TTATAGAACAGACAAAAAAAAAAGAAAACTAAGAGAAGTACGAGAGAAAATGACATTTTTACTCATTTGATAATCTTTTGAAATCTCCCTTACACCAGTAGAAATTAAATATAAGAGCGATATGTTTAGTTCAAGGATCATTCACTCACCAGTTTAGAAGATTTAGGAGACCATATAGATATTGTCTCATACTTTCTTGTAAATCATTCCTTTGTATATGCATGCTCTTGCTGTCTATAGTAAATTATACTTTCATGCTGAAGTTTTATATTTTTTAATAATCCTTAGAAATCAAAAGGAAAAAATGAGTATATATCTCAGGGTCCCAGATATATAGTGTTTTTCAACTTATGAGAAGGAATTTGGCATGAAAATTGTTCGAGGTTCTAATAGTAAACATTTTTAAGTCAGAGAAATAAGACAAGAAAAATAGTAAAACAAACATGTCATAGAAACACAGCTGCTTCCGGTCAAAACAGGGTTATATCTGCATAGCAGAATATAAAAGTGAAAACTAAGAGAGGTGTACGATAATATATTGACAACTTTCTTTCGAACATTTTCCAAGCAAATTGAGAACTATTTATATTGTATAGTAGACAATAGAGTACATCTTCTGGTCTTAGCCTGATAACTAGCTCAAAAGCATATTATCCCAAAATTGATAATTGCTTCAATTGATTAAGGATCATGCTAGCAAATGTGGCTGTTTTGAAGAACAAAGAAATCAATTCAGAAAAATATAAGGATCTGGTTCAACTGATAAACCTACTTCCACCAAAGAGTGTTTGGATTGCATTTTCCCAATGCTTTAAGCTTATATAACACTGAAGGACTTCAAACTCATAATGCCTTAACTTAGAAAATTATTTCAATACTTGACTTATTTTTCTTGACTTTTGCACCATATTAAGTTGTCAAGTGTATAGTAAATTAAAAGCTTATCAGTAAAAATTGATAAAATGATGAAGGAAAGATTAACTTATTGGTCTTTCTTTTAGTTAAAAAGACAATAGAACGTGATTGTCAAAATTATTGGAGCATATTTGGTCTAAAACCATGAAACTCACTTTTTAATTTAAAATTTTTAGCCTTATGATTTTTTATCATTTTTTATTGCATCCCCAAGTATTTTTGAGCTTTATTAAAATAAGCTTAAAACTAGTTTGACCATAGTCGTGATTAACACTTTGTATTGGGTTTGGGCTCTTCGAAGAGCAGCTCAATTCATTCATCAACTACTTTTACTTTTCCTTTCAACATAGAATGATCTTTCTCCCTTCATGGATGATCACAGTTCTTGTCCTCTTCATACATGCACAAGAATCCAAAAGTTGTTGAAATAGGCTGAAATCACCATGGCCTCCCAGCCCGATACAAATTTGTTACGGTCCCATAACCAAGGATCAAGTTATGGGTTGAGATATGTGAAACTTAGGGTTTAGGACTCACTAGAGAGAATCCACCATTCTCTAGAGTTAAAGGTACTCTACGACTTATTGTAATTAATTACTCTCTTATTGATTTTAGTCATGTGAAATGTTTACATATTTATAGGTAAACCATGACAAAAACTTTCCTTTCGAACATATGCTAATAAATTTTTAGTCTACTCATAATGATAATTATGATACATACTAAATTCCCAATTTTAAAGAACCACATTCCTAATTTTAAGGATTTATAGTTGATTGTCTTTCCTATAAGATAAAATAATTCCTACTTTACTGTATTCCAAACTCCTAATCTGGATAACCTCTTTTTCTCCTAATTAAATCCATTAATTGAGAACAATTAAGAGGATCACCCCAGATTTCCTTTCTCTTGGGACGCCCACTGACTGCCACTTTCATCTTCTAACAATTCTTTTTCTAGTTCTTCTTTTTCTTATTATTGAGGCATACCAGAATTTCACTTAAATAATAAACCCTTGGATTTTTCTTCACACTTATATCTCTTACTATTGCAAGAGAGGCATAGTTATAAGGCAAGACTTAAGAGCTATGAGCAGACATAAATAAGTAAAAGTTCTGATGTAATATTATAGCTTGTTAATCTATTTGATGACATAGATTCAAAGGTATTAATCAGTTCAATCTTACAAAAGCAGGATAAATGATACCTCAAATAGTCGTCTTTTACTTTGAGCATCCCAACCAATAACATATCCCTCGTTATCACCAGTGACAAAAGCACCGTTGATGCTAAATTGGAAACAAAAGGCCAATTTGAGTTTCCATAGCTAATAAGACCAAGTTGTTAAAATGATACACATACACTGGATTGAATCTGATGTCATTCACTGATACCAGATGAAATCTTCCATCCCTTGACTTTGGATGACATCGGAAAATGTATCTGTAAAGATGATATAATGATATAAGGCCACCTTCACATGTTTGTCTAGGTTCAAAAGCAAACATGAGAAGCAATTGAAGTATTCAACAAATTAAGCATGTCTTTTTTTTCCCCCTCTACCATTTCATTTTGACTTGAGGCAAGAAAATTGATCAAGAGAATCAAAAGTTTAAATATATAAACTCTAGGTCTAATGCTAACCAATAATTATCAGGTGTACAAAGCACATCAACCATAGGAATTATTGAAGCCAGGCCCAGTTTAACTGCATTACTGCATTAAAATATGACAAAATGTAGCTTCAGATCACATACGGAGGTTGAAAAAGTCATCATATAAACATACTGCAATCAATAAAAGAACTAACAGTATTCATTTAAAATTCAGTACGGATAAGTCTATAAACTGCATATAAAACTTAAAGTAGTCTCAGTAAGGCATTAAAAGCAAAAAAAAAAAGAAAAAACAGAACCAACTGCACTTGCTAAATTCTGGCTATATCTGCTAAATTACCTTAGTAACTCATGCATCACAAACATGATACTTAATTCACCACGTCTTTATATGAGTAGCTGCAGTAAAGTTCTTTCAGAATGGAAATATAACTTGCAAACACAAAGGAAAATAAGTACCACAAGAAATAATAAACGAAAGCAAACTGTGGCATAGATTTCAAACCTTCGGCAAGAAAACATTTGCTAGGGTATTATAATCACAAACTAACCCTGTCTTATTTAAACTGGATCTAGAGGAGGTTTCCAGTGCTACCCGTCCATCTACTGATCCTGCTGCATATTCTGCATAGAAAATAAAGCACCATAAAAAATTCCAGAAATTCATGCTATTCTGAATTTAAAATTTCTTGGTGATCAAGAAAATTAAGGCTTTGTTGTTATAGGAATTCATTTTCAATTTTTATTTCCAACATCCATTGATGTTTTTACCTTAAGCATGAGTGATAATTGAAAAACATTGTTTAGTACAATATAGTGAAATTATGGAATGAGTTGAAAAAAATGTTCTATTTCGTTTATACTGGAGCACGAGACGAATATATCTCACAGTACATGTATAGACATACTTAAATTTAGGAAATACAAACTAGAAGATACTTTCATGTAGAAACCAGAGCCTAATTTTCTTGACACTTCCTCGTTTAGCAGACATTGTGCCTGAAATCTATATATTACATTGCACATAGTGGTTATGGTGTTCTCTAACTACAGTTTCCTTCTGATGAGACGGGGCAGTATTATGGTGAATGCATGTTATCTCTGTAAAAAGGCTGAGGAGGCTTATAAGCATGTACTTCTCTAGTGTCTGGTAATGTACAAGCTTTGAACTATGATTTATGGATTTTTAGGAATCAATTGGGTGACAGCTAACTCAGTAAGTGATGAAATCCAGGCGTAGAATGGTATCAATGGACAGAAGAAACAAGTGGACCTCATTCCACTCTCCATCTTTTGGTCGGCCTGGAAGGAGATGAGTGAAAGAGCTTTTGAAGGACTAGATATTATTAATAATTTTAACTTGATTAGGAATAGGTGATTTCAGATTTTTGGAATTTTTTTATTGGATCATCCTCTTTACTCTATGAAAGATGTAGGGGACCTTTTGATATTTTGTTGGATATGTAAATACTTTATATAGGGGTTGACATCCCTTTGGTGTTAGTTATTAATGATACTTCTCACACATTGTATTTAAAAAAAAAAACAGTTTTCTTGCCTTCAAGTGGGACATGCTCGAGCCATACCATCTGCATGGTGTACATGTAAATATGAAATTGCATCGAGTACCTTTAGTATAAGGACTTGAGCTGACACATCTTATTTGAACTTCCACTTGTGATTCATTGGATTGAACTGGTTGGTCTAAGTTGCGCAAGTCAAATAAATACACTAATGCCCCAAGTGAAACAACCAAGTCAAACCCTGATAGAGCCATGGAGCTCACATCTGAATGCAAGTTTCTTGCGCATATAAGAGTTTGGGGCTGCCGTACGTCCCAGAACATTATCCTCTTGTCCAAACTGGTAGAAACTACTTGATCTATAGCAATAAAACAGAAATAAAAAGGAAATATTACAAGCTAAGAGAGGAAAAAGTTGTTGTCCAACAAAAAGATAAAAACACAAGCAAAGAGGATGTATCAAAATAAAAATAACATTCCAATCACTTAATAACGTGGATGGAGAAAACCCCGAAAGAATTTGAGGGCCTTAGAGCAAAGATAAGTAAAAAACACCACCCATTCCAAAAGAGCAATATACACTTGAGATTATTGCTTCAAAATCCCCCCATTTTGTTAAAGGACTTAAAACGTGATAAAGATAGCCTTTTCTACAGCACCACTCCACCCAAAACAACTCAGGTGGAGATAAATGTCTCTAGGTCAGGAGGACAAACCTAGGAACCACTAAATGATGAAAATAATTTAGTTCAAACCTTTCAAGCTGCCCCACAGTGAAGAAACAAATGGCTATTGTACTCCAAACTCAAGAAGCAAATAAAATATGTCCATGCTAATAGTTCTACAATGTCTAGGATCCTAACGCAAATTGTTAGTGTTAACCCTATTTAAGATTGCAGTCCAAATAAAGACTCTTATCTCAGGAGGAGCTTTTGCTTTCCAGGAAGAGCAAGAAAAAACCAGAAGTGCCGCCAATAGAGCTACACATGAGAAACTCAAGAAACGATTTGTCTAGTGTAGATCTCTATCAAGACCTGATTAGAGTTTGTAGGAAATAATGAGTGAGTTGTTGGGATTACTAAAAGTTATATAAGAATTAGTTTGATTCAGCTATAAATAGTTGAGTTGAGAATTGATTTATATCCAGAAAATATGAATGAAATTTTAAGTTTCTCTCCACAGTTTCTTTTCTCTTCGTCTTCCTTACTCTTCCTTCTCCCTAAAATCTAATTCTGCTCTCATGTTCTTTCCTCTTTTTTTTCTGTTTCTCCAACGATCCTTCTTCTCCCTTTATTTCTTCACAAATCAGGACAGGTTCTTGACACATTGGTACCAGAGCAGCTTGATTCCAAGAAAATGCAAGCCACCGTGATAATGATGACTAGGAACAAAGGAAAAGCTACAGTAGTCGATCAGCAATGCATTCAACAGATCAATAAGTTTGTAAAAGAGCTCGAGCAGAGGCCATCAGAGTTTAAGTTGGAAATGTACGAACCGCAAAGGCAAACAAGCCAAAAATTTGATTAGATTGTGGAGCTTCTGTGCAGTAATACGTGATTATCTGATGTAACCGCACCAAGAGAAGCTTCACAGAAAAACAGAGAGTGTGAGTCCAAGGAAGTGATGGCAGCGCTCCAATCATGGAGGCAGAAAATTTCCTTTTTGTCAGCATCTGCTTCATCAAACAGAAATCTTCAGTTGGCTTGTTCTGGTAATACTTCTTCAAACTTTATTTCCACAGTAGGTTCTCATTCATCTTCCACAACAAGAGAAAGTGTTGTGAAATTAAATTGGAGAATAGTGTATACCATACTTTTGAGGAAAGTCTAATACCAATGGCCTACTTTTGGAATATGCAGATTACATAACCCTTGACAAGGTTAGGATGTTAATAGAGGATGACTTGCAATTAGAGAGATATTTATTGAATTTGCATAAGAGATTCATGAAAGAATGTGTTATAGAATACATTGTTGATGAATATGATTCCATATATGAAGAAAACTCCAAATCTGATTTCAGGGTGGTAGTGTAGATTGTTGTAGACTACGGGAATTTGAGAAATTAGATGGAACTGAAGTAGAAAAAGGGTTTCATCATGTTAAACTGGTTGGCCATAAAGGTGACTGGATAGATGGACCACCAGTTGTCTGTTAAAATTCCACAAATGAAAAGGTTGGGATCATTTTAAGATGAAACTTGATGAACAAAAAGAGAGTCATCTCAAATGGTTGGGAGAGCTTCGACTTCAGCAAGAAGCTGCCATGCAGGAGAGTCAATGTTGGATTGACCAGAATTTTTTTATAAATAAAAAATATGAAAAGTATTAATTCACAAAGGTACCAAGAGGATACCACCTATATACAAAATTTACAATGTAATTAATATTTGTATAATATTCCCAAAATCTTCCACCTTGTAAATATCATGCCTCAATATCAAGAACCTAAAAAGATTAAAGAGTTCAAGATGGAACTACAGTCATGGAGCAGCAGAACTTTTCTTCCATCTGAGAAAAATGCAACCAAAATTTTTGTGAGAAGTCCACAAAGAGTTGATAAGTTTGAGAACTACGTAGAAATGAACTTTGTTGGTTCCTCTGAAGGTGCATTTTCTTTTTTTATAATAATGTAAACTTTAGCAATTGATGTTTGGATGCATGTTAAATATTGTTATGATAAGCGAAGGATGCTCGACTTTGGTCTAAGTGAATCATCTATGAGACGCAAATGGGAAGGTTCCCAGCTGTTAAACATAGAGGGGAAGAAGTTAAGACTTTTATTCGGAAATAGATATTTGATTGTTGATGAAAGTTGTGGGAGGGGAATTTGATATAACTAGCTTAAACTTTTGTAATAGCTATTTGGAACGGCAAATTTACACAAAATAGTAAAATGATATTAGTCTATGTGTGGTTGTATGTTAAACTTTACCCCTATAAGCATCAGAGCTTCTTACCACAAAAGCCTGTGCTAGCCAAGAGAAACATCCACATGAGCAAGAATTGAGGAAACAGAAACAGCAAAACATCTACTTGGCACCAACTCAGGTGAGAATTAAAGGAGGTAATAGGCAGAACTTTATTTTTCATTTGAACTACTCAATTTCCATTTTCTGTTTTTCAGTTCATTACTGATTTTATGTTTTCAGTTTAAACATCCTTGAGGACAAGGATGCTTTTACAGGGAGGGTAATGTCAAGACATAATTAATACTCAGAGTTTGTTGGAAATAATTAGTTGAGTCGTTGGGTTATCACTGAAAATTAAGAATTAGTTTTAGTTTGTTTGTTTCAGTTATAAAAAGTGGAGTTGAGAATTGATTTGTACCCAGAAATTATAAGTGAAATTTCAAACTTCTCACTACAGTAATTCCTCTCTTCTCTTTGTCTTCCTTACTCTTTCTTCTTCCTAAATTCTAATTCTGCTATCATCTTTTATATTCCTTTCTGTTTCTGCTGCAATTCTTCTTCTTCCTTTATTTCTTCATAAATCAGGACAGGCTTCTTGACAATCTCAAAACAAAAGTCCACACTTTACGATACCTTAACATACCCAAAAACTAGTTCTCACAATGCACAACAATAGGAGCTGAAAAAGCGTAATAGGTCACCAACTACTAAGAGGATATGCATAGCATATTGCCACATTTGTATGTTTTCTGATAAACGGTTAAAACTTCAAAGCTTGTAAACAGCTGAAACTATCACTTTATTAAATAGCTTGTTTTTATTTATACAAATATGGTTTAAAATGAAAGCCTCATAAAGGCATCCAAACCCATTCACCCAAATTATGTCAAAATCACGTAATACTGGATTAGAGAGTATTTAGGATGCTGAAAAAATGAGCTTAGAGCATCTAGGTACTAATTTAGAAAATAAATGATAAAGATGGTTACTGTTAAAAAATTTATTGTTAAAAAATAACTATGTTTTATACATCTATTAAAAAAACAAACATACAAAGGGGAAATAAGTAAATAATCATGTTAAGAAATAAGCATTGTAAGCAACACACAAAAAGTTCAAAAAAAAAAGGTGCTTTTTTAAAGCTACTTATAAGCAACTATGAAGCAGTTTACTCATTATGTATTGAGTACCATATTTTTTTAAGCTACTTACAAGCCTTATATAGAGTCCCAAACACCATTTTAAACACCAAGCATCCACACACTATAATAGCAAGCAGAAAGTGTGGAGAATTAAGAATGCTTTTCAAAAGCATTGCACAGGATTTCAATCATTTTATATGAGAAAACATTTAGTAGGTAACAAAAATGTGGGTCAACTGAAAACTTTTTGCTTTTCAATAAAACCTATAGTTATATAGAAAATCCTCCTATGTTTAGAATTTAATACATATCCAGAAAACTCTCTGGAAGAAACAATATTCGTAAGCTTTCCAACTTCTAAAATGGACGCAATAAAACATATTTTTAAAACAAAGTTATCGACTTATATCACTGGATTTGAAAGCCAAAATGCAGAAAGCTGTATGTGAAGCTGAAGACCTTACTCCGAAAGTCAACTCATACTGAATAATAAAGCAAGGTGGCACCTCACCCAAAAAGAAAAAACTAAGGTGGCATCAACAACTTACGTGTTTCCCCAGAATATCCAATGCATGTCGCTAAATCATCATGATTTCCAATAGTATAACGCACTCCTTCATGCAAATCATACCTAGAAAAGATTTGTCCAAAAGGAATCAACGCATGTTCCTTATCAAAACATATAAATTTATACAAATTTTGCAAACCCAACATATTAAAACTCGATGATGTGTTGAATCATAAATAAGAAAAGGTTACATGGCCTATCATGTCCAATTCAAACCGGAAACATGATAAAATATGCAAAGGATATTGAACGCAACATCCAGAATATGGATATTATAAGCAGACACATCTTAGCGTTCAATTCTTGAGCAAAGCAGATAAAAAAACAAATCCAAGTGGACATTTGAATTTTCAAGATTGAAAAACAACAAACCTTGTAATTAAACCATCTGAGCCAGCGCTAAAAGCAGTGAAATCGTTCTCGAAGCAGCAATCGAGAAGCGCAGCCTCGTTGGGTGATTCAAATCTTAGCAGAGAGCTATCGACGTCGTACAATCGAATGCACTACGAGAAATTGACAAGTAAATTTTTTTATAACTAAATTCAGGCTTACAGGCCTACAGTAAACTGCAAAAGAAAAAAAAATACCAGTAAGAGAAATCAAGAAGAAAATGAACACCCACGGAGTCCCAAGAAGAAATTAGGAGATTATTAGATTGGGGAGCGAATTGGACCCTGGAAATCGCGTCTCCGATGGGATTTTCCAAGTTTACACAAGAACCATTCATTATTGCCGAACTCAGTAGATTGACAGAGGTAGTAGAAGTTAAGTCATGAAGACGAGCCCTAACTTGGCTGCAGAGGAAACTAGTGAAGGGAGCCGAGTGGAGAGTCTAGAGATTCAACACCTGAAAAAGTTCCCGCTCAAGTGGAGCTCTTTAGATCAAAATTTAAAAAGCTTCTTTATTAAAAAAAAAAAAAAAAAAGCTAAAATAAAATTTGATCACTATATTATTTATTTTTATTCAAATTAATTCATACATATATTTCATTCCAAATTAGTCCGTGTACTTGTAAAAAAAATTTATTTAATCATTTTTTATTACTATTTAACAATATCGATATTAATATATGATATATTTTATTTTATTTTATTATAAATTAAATATTAAATCTAACATTAAAAATTATATATTAATAAATATAAAACGGTTTACAGATTAAAATATATTTCATTAAAATCTCTAAAACACATTGATAGCTTTTCTTTTTCTTCTTTGTCTTCTTACTCTCACTTTTTTTTTTTTGAGTCAATATAATATAAAAAGACGATAATAAAATAAATTAGATATAGATAAGATTGATTGATAAGCAATTAAATTGTAATAAGATCTGTAAATTATTTTAAAATAAGGATTCATTTAATATCGTAGGCTCAATTTGTGACTTATATTAAATAAAAAAACTCATTTAAAAAAGCAAACACTAACTTTTGAAAATTTATTGATTAGCTCAAAACCTTTTTATATTTTTTTTAAATATTAAGAATCTCTACCTCTTTTGTTCTTAACTTTCATACACTTAATATTATCATCTCAAATAACACATGTGATATATCCAACTGATTTATAAATTTTAGTACCATAAAATACATTATATTGTTCTGTATTCATAATAATATTATAAAAATTCTCTGTACATAAAATAAATAAGATAAAAATGATCTCCCTTATCGTAATATCCTATCTAATAAGAAATTTTTCGGTCGGATTATTATTAACTAAAATTAAATTTGAAACAATTCGAGCATGTTTTCATAAATAAATAAAAAATAAAAAGAAAACTGTGAAATCCCATTTTTGCCATGATACTACTAAGAAACAATCACGTTACTTGGTTAATGTTATAATTAATTATAATTATGTAATTTATTCTGCAAATTAGATCATTAATCTTTTTTATAAGGCCAATGTTAACAAGTTCTCCCAGTACTCATTAACATTTAATACAATTAGTAAAGGCAGTCGTAGAAAGGACTTTTTGGACTAAGCAAGTAAGAATAAGAATGGGATAAAGGGCCTTTGTGCGTTAAAAAGAAAACTAAATTCGGGAAGACAACCATAAAATCACCATAATTTATAATACTGAAACACAGGAACACCGGTGTCAATTGCATTGAGCAACGCTTGGAAGAAACAAAAGTAGCAGGGAGAGATTGGCCTACACTGAACAAGTACTAAATCAATATTCAGTACTTGGAAAATAAAAGCACATAAAGAACAACCACCTTCACTCTGTTGAGGAGAATAAAAGCACAAGGGTCTATGGAGTGTCAATGAAAAATAATAAGACACAGAGCCAAGAGCTCACTCATCCTACAGGAAATTTTATATTTACAAACAAATTATTGGCTGTCTTACTTCCTAATGCTTCTAGTAGCCAAACAGCAACTTTTGATGCCGGTCCAACTGCAACTTTATCTTTTCAGTACATAAAACAACATTTAGTTATCTGGAATGAAGAAATCAAATGTCACATCAACTGAACCAGATGATTCCCCAGTATCCTTGTATTCAATATTTGTTATTGCTCCAACCTCATCCAAGTCTTGATATTCTGGCTTTACTCGACGTACTGGCACTGTGACGGAGTAAATGGTCCCGAGATCTGAGTCAGCAGAGACATTCAGCTGAACTTTATCCTGTGATTCTATCTCCACGAAATCTGACAAAGCACGGATGATGTTGTTCACTATCTTCCTTTTTGCCTCGTCACTAACTGCACACCGATCAGAGAAGAGGATCATCTTTAGTCGCTGCTTGGCAATTCTTGCATTAGAGCTCCTTCTCGTAGTAGGAGAGGGGAATACAATCTTCCAAGCCAAATTTAAACGGTCCAAGAAGCTCATATTAATGGTGTTTAGGAGAAAGTTTTCAATCTCTTGACTGACAGTATTTGGAGGAAGGTCGTAATCTCCTGTGATCCCAGAAAGTCGTTTAGACTGACAAAGCATGAATCGATTATTAGCCGTTATGCTGGGCCACTTGGTGCAGATTTCAGAGGCATTATTTGTGAAAGCTGTGAAATCTACCTGTAAGAAGAACACCGTCAAAACTTACTTTGAAAATGCATTTATGTTTATGAAATTCCAGTTATACTTGTCAATGCAGCATCAATATAGGATAATTTTTCTTGAAATAGCACCAGCATGACCACCAGCCCAGGTCACTAGACTAAAGCTACCTATCATTTCTTCATGCTGAGAACCGCCAACTTATAAAATTAGAAGAATCATCATGGTAACAGTTGCGATCCTGCCTGAATGAAAGAAAGTTCCTACTAGCCCGGCAGTAACCTATTTGCAGCAATGCTTCCTTACTTCCAGGATATTATAAGACCAATAGTTCTCAAAAGAAAAGATGCAGTCCAAGAACAACCAACTATGGATGATGCACCAGAATAAGAATTGCCCATAATGTTATCTTAAAATTGTATAAACTAAAGGAGAGTATGTATATAACAAACGGTTGATATTGTTAATTGTAAAATTAAAGGAACCTCTACATATAGCTAAAAGTTGATACATTTGATATATATACACATTGATGCAGAATGGTTTACCACCAGATTTATTAAAGAAATAAAAAATTATAATTATATTAAATATAAAATAACTATATTATTTAAAAGTCTATTATTATATTATTTAAGAATCTTATTATAGTTTTAATAATTTAAAATTTTATTCTTATTAAAATTAAGAATTTATTTTTATAAGTATTATTTTTTATTTGTATTAAAATTAATATTTTTAATTCTACTAAATTATAATTTTTTAATACAATTATAGCTACAAAGAATTCTTTAGAAATTATTATAAATAATTTTGTAATTTTATTCATTAATTATTCAAATATTCACTAATATTTTTTAGAATTTCTCATAAATGATTGTGTGATTCAATTAACCCTTAGGTGTTATATCTAATAACTTTAGGTGTGATACCTAGGCCCTTCCCCAATTTCTTAGTAGATAAATTAACTCTAATTTTTCTTACATTAATTTGGTATCAGGGCTAATAGAATCATTTTTTTAAATAACCAGAGCTAATAGCATCATATACCCAAATTCTCAAAACCTACACCCAAACAGTCCCCAAACCCATCTGAAAAAAGAAAAAAAACCCTAAAACAGCCACCAACACCGTTCACCAGCAAAGTGCCACCAACACCAGCTCCAGAAGATCCTGACCAGCCGAACCCCTAAGCCCCACTGCAAAACTCCACCAGAAATCTCCATAGTCACCGGCGCAAGCTCCCACAACCGCTGCCTCTCGTGAATATGGACTTTTGCATTGTCGTTCTACACCGTCTCCAATATGAGATTAGTACCTTTAGTTGAGCTGCCTACCAGACGGCCACCGTTGTCCGGTAACTGGAAGCTAGCATATGAAGCCCAAGCATGGCCAGCTGCGAATAAACCTTGTGCAATCTATTATGTTTTGGCTTCTCCAATGAGTCTCTTGTTCAATTAGACTTTTTTAAAGAGAAATTAAGCTTCAATAATGGTGACTAACGCTAAATTAAATGTTAAATTTGAGATATATGAGGCAATCACTAATACCAGATTCAAAAATTGCAATAAACTATCAAAGCAAGCTTAGAAGAAGGGAGACACTTAACGCACAGCAGAAGTACGTCTACCAGTTCAAAATGTACAAGTTGAACAAGATGCTAATAGAAGATACATTAAAGATAATGTCAGAGATATCACCAAGAAAGTAAAGGTCGAAGCTCCTAATTTTGATGGAAGAAGAGACCCCGATTTCTTTCTTGATTGACTTAATTCAATAGAAGAGTACTTCAACTAGTATGACACATTAGATGCACGAAGAATTCAATTTGTCAAGATGAAGTAGGTTGGACTTGCAAAAATATAGTAGTACACTCTTAGTGGAAACAAAAAAAAAGGACAACCAACAATTGCAACATGGGATGAGATGAAAACTATTTTTCATGAAAAATATCTATCTCCCAACTACTTTGAGAAACTTCATAACCAAACTTACATTTTAGTCCATGGCAACATGTCCGTAACTGAGTACATACAGAAGTTCAAAGAATTAAAAATCTAAAGCCAACAAGTCGAAGTAGATAGTCAAACAGAATCCCAAGTCAAGGCAGGAATGAGAGTTGACATTAAAAGAGAGCTAATTCGACGACCTTCTGCCACTATAGCACAAATTGACCAAGCGACCACCCTTGATGTGGAAGAATATTTTAATCAAAGTGGAATTCGCTCCTAATGATACATTTAAATCAAAGGTGACCTGAAAAATGGATCAAGATCAAATTTTAAAACTCCTAAAGGTAAGGAAGTTGTGTGCTTTAGATGTGGACAAAGTGGGCACATGGATTACGAATACCCCCAATGAAGAATAATTTGCATATTGGACTAAAAGAAAAGGAAGAGCAAGAAAGAAATGATAGTTATGTATCCTACGAGGATGACGATTAAGTTCCTAGTGAACAGGTAAGTACCTCTCTTTTGTTAAGTTGCACATTGTCAAACTCCAAAATGAGCAAGAAGAATCACTATATTTACTTATTGCTCAAGATTTTTTCCTAAGAGTCAACTCTATATATGGGCAAGAAGAAACACTATGTATTCCTATTGTGCCATGAAAGTTCCATGCAACAAGAGATTTGACATACCAAGTGGTCAACATGTTGATTTCATGAATCCCACAAAGATTTAACACTCCTAAACAATTGTACTCTGAAGAGTATGATGCGTCAGTATGCATGGTTTTTTTTTTGTAATTTTGTTTCAGGTTGTTAGGTAGTTTTCTGTGCTGGCATTTTTTCTATTATTCCTTTTGCCAACTGTGTTTTTCTGTTTTCTCCGTACACTGCTGCATATATTTGTAAACTTCTTCAGCACTCATTTTAGAGAGAAAAAATATGAGAATGTTTGTTCCTCTCAATTGGTTTATTTTTTTTATATTTTGAAACTGCTCATGGTATCAGAGCAGATAAGATCCAAAACAGAAATAGATTTCTTGCTGTAAACCAATAGATCTGTGAGAGACAGAAATATGGAAGAAACAACCAGGATCGTTCAGAGTTCCGCTGGAGATCCATGGGGTGCGTGATCTTCCACTGCTGATAACAACGATGATCCACTGTTTCTTCAATTTGCTGATCATCTAGTATGGTTCTTGTTTCTACACCTTTGAATGGAAACAATTATCTTGCATGGAGTCCTTCAATGAAAATAGCACTCTGTGCTAAGGTCAAACTGGGTTTGATTGATGGGAGATGTCAGAAACCAATGTTGGGATCTGACATGATAGATGGACTAGAGCTGATTGCATGGTACGTTCTTGAATTTTAACCTCCATCTCTAAAGATATTGTAGATGCATTTTTTTATACTGCTTCAGCCAAGGAACTTTGGGAGGAATTGGGGGAAAGATTTGGGGAGTGTAATGATCCTCTTTTGTACCAATTACAACGTCAGATTAGCTCTATATCTCAGGGAAATCAAACTGTAGTTCAGTATTTTACAAAAGTTAAGATATTGTGGGATGAACTTCAATGTTTACAGCCATTACCTGAGTGTAGTTGTGGTGCTGCAAAACTGATGACAGATTATAACTGTTCTAGTAAACTGATACAATTTTTTATGGGATTGAGTGAAGAGTATGATCATACCAGGAATCAGATTCTTGTTATGGAACCTCTACCAACTGTAAATAAGGCTTATTTGATGATTTTAAGGGTAGAGAAACAGAGGGAGGTCCATATAGCTTACACAGACAGCAGTGACAATGTAGCAACGTTAGCAAATAATCAAGGTAACAAGAAACTCTTTACTGATTCACGCAATGCTAATAAGGGAAAACACGAGCATAAAAAAATTGACAAGTCTACTTTACGATGTGCACACTGCAATTTCACTGGCCATACTAAGGAAACATGTTTCAAGCTTCATGGGACACTGGACTAGTACAAAGATCTTGTGAAGGATAGAGGGAAATCGGGTATTAAACAAATTGCTACTTGTGCAGAGGCAACATTGGATACAGAAAAGGGCAGAGATGGTTCATTTTCTATGGAGCTGAACAATAAAATTCAAGAAATAATTCAGAATGAGATGAGCAGATTGTTGAAAGGGAAGAACACTACTGATGGAGCAATGGTATATCTGGCACACTTCCATGACTTTGAAGGTATAAGTATTCACAATTTTGCTTTTAATACACTTAGTTTATTAGAGCATGGAAGTTGAATTGTAGATACGGGAGCTTCAAGTCACATGTGTTGTGATCTGAAACTCACTGAACAACCAGAACCCACAAAAGCCATAACACCAGTACATTTACCAGATGGATCAATCAAAACTGTTCAGCATACAGGCAAATGTGCAATTCTCAGATAACATTGTTTTAACTGAAGTGTTGCATATCCAGCATTCCATTATAATCTATTATCAGTAAACAAACTTTCAGAAACATCCCTGATTAAATTTGTTTTTTGTCCCAAATATTGTATACTGCAGGACCTACAGAATGAAGAAATCTTGGCAGTTGGAAAGGTGATTGGAAGACTTTACATCTTGGATTCCAGTAGTCTAAACCCAGAATTGATATCTTATCACAAAAAATTATTACCCTAAAATAGTATTCTAAGTTCCTTTCAAGTTTCATGTAATAACAATACTGAATCAGTTTCTAATGAAAACTCTTTACAAGCTGCCTCACTTTTGCACAAGAGAATTAGGCATATTTCACCCACAATCATGTCATACTTGAATTTCATTAATCAAAAAGATTGTTCATTACTCCCTCCTTGTGATGTTTGTCCATTAGCCAAGCAACACAGATTACCTTTTCCAATTAGTAAAACCAAGTCCACAAGACTTTTTCAACTACTTCACCTTGATGTTTGGAGACCCTACCACCAAAAATCTTTAACAGAAGGACAATATTTCCTTACTATTGTTGATGACTTCAGTAGAAGTGTTTGGACTTTCTTATTAGCACATAAGTCTCAAGTCACCCATACATCAACAAATTTCTTTAAATTCATTGAGATCCAATTTGATTCTGTATCCAAAGTGTGAGATCTGATAATGGGACAGAATTCACTAACCAAGAGTGCCATAACCTTTCTTCTTCAAAAGGCATTTTACACCAGAAAACTTCTCCTTATATTTCCCAACAAAATGGGGTTGTAGAAAGGAAACATAAACATCTTCTTCAAATTGCAAGAGCCTTAATCTTTCAGTCTCATTTGCCTAAAAATTTTTTGGGGGAGTCAGTTTTATTTGCTACCTACATTATTAACAGATTGCCTACTGCTTCACTGAATTGGAGAACCCCATTTGAACTTCTTTTTGGCTATCCTCCTTCATATACTTCATTATGGTGCTTTGGTTGCTTGTGCTATGCGACAACCATCATCCCACACAAGGATAAATTGGATCATAGGGCTATAAAGTGTGTGTTTCTTGGTTTTAATGTAGGACAGAAAGCATATAAATTATATGACATTCAGTCTAAGAAAATCATTGTTTCCAGGAATGTTACTTTTCATGAAAATATTTTTCCATATTATTCTATCCATGAGTCTACACCATTACCTCTTGTCTCTAGCGCAGATGATTTCCTAGAACCAGATATTTATCCATCTTCTACACATGATATTCCAACCACATCTTCACCCAGTCAACATGAAAGTGTATCTCCAGTTACCACTGATTCTTATCATGCCCCTTTAATTCAATCACTTCGAAGAAGCACTAGGACCAGACTTATGCCAACTTGGTTGTCTAACTTCGTTTCGTCTGCTATTCAATCACCATCTGCTGCCATAGATGACAATTCATTTTTTGTAGTTTCTGCAGGTCACCCTTATCCCATCAACACTTACCCTTACGCCATTAATGCATGTTTCAGTTATCAGAACATAAAACTTCTAGCAAACATATCTAAATGTTCAGAACCATGCTCTTATGAACAAGTCTGTGTAAATTCAAAATGGGTGGATGCTATGCAAAGTGAATTGGATGCTCTTGAAAAGAACAACACTTGGGTTCTAACTACTTTACCTGCTGGTAAAAAGACTATCTGTTGTAAGTGGATTTACAAAATTAAGTACCTAGCAGATGGCACAATTGATAGGTTCAAGGCTAGAGTTGTTGCAAAGGGATACAACCAAGTAGTAGGGGTTGATTATTTTGATTCTTTTTCTCCAGTAGCCAAGGCTGTAGCAGTCAGAATTTTCTTCGCATTAGTAAGTGCAAAAGGCTGGCCTATTTATCAATTAGATGTTAAAAATACGTTTCTTCATGGTCAATTGCATGAAGAAGTGTATATGATTCCTTCAGATGGTTACACTAAACCGAAAAATGGTCAAGTTTGCATGCTAATTAAATCCTTGTACGGATTGAAGCAAGCTTCTCGGGAATGAAACCATGAATTCTCCTCACAGTTGCAACAATTTGGATTCTTCCAATCTGAAAATGATCATTGTTTATTTGTTAAGAACACTGAGCACTCCTTTACTGCTTTAACTGTATATGTTGATGATGTTTTGGTTACAGGCAATAGTGAGCAGGAGATCGATGTTGTCAAGGCATTTCTTGATACTAAATTCACAATTAAGGACCTTGGCCTTGCCAAATACTTTCTGGGTCTAGAAATAGCTCGTTCAGAGGCTGGTACCTACTTGAATCAAAATATATTATGGACATTCTTGCAGATGTTGGTCTACTTGGTGCAAGACCAGCACGTACTCCCTTGCCCAAAGGTCAATCCTTAGTTGCAGATACAGAGAATCTATTTTCAGATCCAGAACAATACAGAAGATTAATTGGACGACTTCTATACTTGAACTTCACAAGACCTGATCTCACTTATGCTGTTCAACAACTCAGCCAGTATGTTAATGCCCCATCTCAGTCTCATTGGAAAGCAGCACTGCATGCCTTGAAGTATTTAAAGAATTCACCTTCCAAAAGTCTTTTCCTACCAGTAGAAAATAACTTTCAATTGCAGGCTTTCTGTGATGCAGATTGGGCTGCATGTCATGATACAAGGAAGTCCTTGACTGGCTATTGTATTTTCCTTGGATCATCCTTAATATCTTGGAAAAGTAAGAAGCAGATCACCATCTCTCGCTCATCTGCAGAAGCTGAGTATCGCAGCATGACTGACAGTTTGTGAGCTCAAATGGATCACATACTTGCTTCATGATTTTGGCATAGCTGTCTCTTGTCCCATTCCATTTTTCTGTGATAATAAGGCAGCTCTTCGTATTGCTGCTAATCCCATTTTTCACGAACGCACAAAGCACTTGGAAATTGATTGTCATATGGTGGGCCATGAACTTAAGCAGGGCTTCATTCTCCCCCAGCATGTTTCCAATCAGCAGCAGCCAGCGGATATCTTCACCAAATCTCTTCCTTCTCCTCAGTTTCATTATCTCCTCTCCGAGTTGGGATTGGTAGACTTTCACCAACCTCCAACTTGAGGGGGGGATGTAGAATATGATGCATCAGTATGCATTTTTTTTTTCTGTAATTTTGTTTCAGGTTGTTAGGTAGTTTCCTGTGCTGGCATTTTTTCTGTTATTCCTTTTGCCAGCTGTTTTTTTTCGTTTTCTTCCTACACTGCTGCATATATTTGTAAACTTCTTCAGCACTCATTTTAGAGAGAACAAATATGAGAATGTTTGTTCCTCTCAATTGAGTTTCTTTATTTTGAAACTGCTCATACTCTCTATTATTTTAGGTATTGGGGAGAAGAACCAAACACAAAGGTTATTAAATTTTCTAGGAAAGCTTGAGTATCAAGATTTTACATCAGTTGCCACTTCAAAACTCGTGAACAAATTTTCTCCAATTAGGGAGAATGAAGCAGAGTGGGTTAACACTAGAGTTCTTAAATAAATTAGATATTGTAATTATATTAAATGTAAAACAACTATACCATTTAAAAGCCTATTATTATATTGTTTAGAAGTGTTACTAAAGTTTCAGTAACTTAGAATCTCATTCTTATTAGAGTTAGATCGTTATTCTTATTAGTATTATTTTTTATTATATTAGGATTAGTATTCTTAATTCTACTGCATTACTATTTCCTAATTTAATTTCAGTTCAGAAAAATTATTTAGAGATTATTATAAATACACTTGTAATTTCACTTATTAGTCATTCAAATATTTAATAATATTTTTGAGAATTTCTCATAAGTGATTGAGTGACTTAATTAACCCTTAGATGTTATGCCTGAGAACTCTAAGTGTAATATTTAGGTCTTTTTCTAATTTCTTAGTAGTCAAAGTAACCCTAATTTGTCCTATATTATATATACATATTTTGAGAAAGATGTAACTGAATAAATAAGTTGGAATTTTTCCAGTGAGGTTAAGATTTTAGAGTAATTGGTTGCCCAACTTAATTATTTCATGCATTATGAAAGTCAAATGTCAAACAGTTCAAACTCTGTCTGCTCAGTTCATACTTTAAAATATATAAACTCGGTACAAGACAAGCATGAGAGAGTGTATGAAGTACATAAATAACTACGTTTTTTTTTCTTATCAGCATAAACTTCTAAAATAGTTACAAGCATTTTAAATTATTTCATATATATATTATATATATAAATTTACTCATGTTAAAAGAGAATAAAAGGCAGGCAGTTTCAGAAGGGAGGACTTTCTTGCCGTTGAAGTTCTGTTAGGGCTTACATTAGACTTGCATAGACAAACTAGAAATTACTGCGAAGGCGAGGGGTAAGCAATTCAAGAACAACAACCTAGGTCAACCACCAAACTAAACAAGCCAAATGATAAGATGGATAATGGGGCCATATGATTATATTTCCAATCCTTAATCATACGGCAATTTAACAATAAAAACAACAAAAAAAGGGGCTAGTCTAAATTAGAGATCAAACCATTGACATACCTTAGTGGGTCTAAAGGAAGTAACTGCTTTATAAACTTTGGTTATATAACCCATAGAATGCAAAGAGCAGGGAGGCTTATCACTGAGCCAAGAGGCCAGAGATCAAACTATTAGTATATGATACTTCCATAATCAAGTAGGAAGTGTCACACGGTCCTAACAAAGAATAAACATGAGGCAAAGACATAGTGATTTCAAAATTTGAGCCAATATAATTAAAATTATTCAATCTGAAAGAAGTCGAAAAAGCCACCAACTTTTGCTTGCCACCTAATTTAGTGCTTGAGTATTGGAAGAATTGGCCATCTATAGACTTAATCAAGCATCCATTGCAAGCAGGGATCTTGACCTTACGACATGTCCTTAATTTAATAATTCCGTTCAATTTATCTGGAGAAACAAGCAGTTAAGCTAAGCAATGATAGAACAACGCTTATTCAATCCCAGCACCAATTATGAGGAAGCAGTGTAACTCAGCAATTACTAAACAAAAAATTTGAAACGAGCTTGAAGTCTAAAAGTGTCAGGTTAGCAAATAGACCTATAACATCTATGAAAATTTACCAATAACAAGGCAGCCGTAAAGCAAACTATGAGCATATTGAATCTTACAGGCCCAAAATAGCAATCAAAGATCAGCAAATGAAATGTGAATGGCATAACTAACATACATATTTTTATATAGGAAAAAAAGGAAAATAAACCAATATTTACGTATTAGCATAAACAGCTAATATAAGGTGCTATAAGCTAAAAACCCAATCAAGACATGCTTAGTTTCTATAACAAAAATCTACGTATGGAAAAGCAACAGAAATCCCGAAATAGCAGGAATTTCAAACACCACCCTCATCCTGATTTCGGGAATTCCAAAGACACCCCCATCCTGATATCGGGAATCCCAAGCACCTACTTCATTTATCTCGCGTTTTCTTGGCAAAGCCAACAGAAAATAGGGCAATAAATCACAATTAGACAAAACCGAGGACTAAAACTGGAATCAATATAAAATATCGAGCACAAAAAAAAGGTGAAAGAAAGAACCTTCGATGAGGGCAAGGTGCTACGAGTGGGATGCTGGTGATAAGATGCCAATGTTGCAGAAATTCTCAGATCCCCCGATATCGCCATTTCCGGTCTCTTTTCTTTTTCGCTAACTCACTTGTTCAGTGGATTCTGCTGCCGATTGGCGCTGTTTCTTTCGGTCGTTGAGCAACACCAGTACGCTGAAGCTCTAAGTTTAGGACTCACCTTAAACCGGGTCGTTACTGGAATTATGTTCGGATTATAGCTGGTATAATTTTTTCATATATTTTCTTTTTGTTTGTTTGCCCTTCTAAATAGATAGTATACTTTTTTTTATCGGTTAACTCATAGTTTTTAAAATTATAATTTTATTTATTTTTTAAACCATTAATTCGATAATTTTAAAATATTTTATTATTTTCATTATTTATACAAATTATTATTTATTTTAAATAATTTTATCTAATATTTTTTACTATTTTTCTTCTTCTTCTTATTTAGGGTTTTTTTTTCTTCCACTCAGACACTAATTCAAGAAAAGCCTCACCCATTTTTTTCTTCTTATTTTATTGTATATGTATATATATATATATTTAATTATATATAAATATATTTAATTAAATTCATATATTTATATTTTTAATTATATATATTATATATCTGTATATTTAATATTATATATCTTTTTAATTTTTTCTCTTTATATTTTTCATTTATTATTATATATAATAAAAAATATATAAAATAAATAATTTATTCAAATATACAATTATATCATACTGTTTATATAAACCAAAACAATCGTCACTATCAGACATTAATAAACTATCATGTAAATATGATCAAATTTAAACATTAATAAATTTTACATGTACCATATCATACCCAATATAAATGAACCATTATGTAAATTATCCAATCAAGCTCTTAATCACTCCATTGGAGCTTTTTTTGGGTTTGATGGTGCTCACTGCTAAGGGAATTATTTTGTTTTTTACTGGACAAAGCACATCAAATTATGTATTTTTCTAATAAAAAATTAAGTAAATTTTTTTAACTAATAACTACTCTAATAAATAAAATAAC